CTCTGAGTCACTTTACCAGTTAGGAAATTTTGATAGGGAATATATGCATATACATAGCCCTCAGGCTGAGTATTAATCTGCCTTCATGTTCAAAGACAGAATCTCTTGCTGTTTGGAGTTTAAAAGCATTTCTAACTTTGCAAAGCCCTGAATTTCTGGAATCTCTGTGTTCTCTTTCATTTTTATTGTAAACTGACCAATTCTTTCCTGCGCTCATCTCTTCATAATACTTTGCCACCACAGTGATGTTGGTTCTAGGTGAGGTCATGGAGACGGCAGGGTCCAGGAATTTGGGACCTGCAAGCCTGACGTGAAAGGGCACTGAGTGGGGAAGTGGGCACGTCCCTGCTATTAGCTGGGAATGGTTCTCTGGCCCCTGGCTTCAGCTGCCAGGCCAGGGATCCTTAGACTGAGAAGTCCCCACGTCACTGCACTGTAGCTCTTACCTTGATGTTTATTCCTGCTGATTTAGGAGGTCAGTAAATCATTTTTTCCCAACACTCAGGAGCCAGGTTTCTTAGAAATTAATGTGCATACAAATCTCCTGGAGATCTTGTTAATATTCAGGTTCTGATGAATTAGGTCGTCAGTGAAGCCTGAGAGATTCCACACTTTAACCAGCTCCTTGATGGTGGACCCCCATTGGACCAGATGTTGCTGGTCTGAGGACCACACTTTGAGTAGCAAGGCTCTGGGTGCTCTTTCCTTCTTTATAGCCTGCCTACAACTGCCCACACTGTTGGGTGTAGTGAACACTGTTGATTCCTCACCGACATGCGCACCCCCCAGCTTCTGTCTGCTTTGCTGCTGATGGCTGACACGTGCAACATTTAGAGTATTTCCACTGGATGCTAGAGCCGTATCTCCAGTGATGAGAGCTAGAAATGCCTGGGAGTTCTCCACCTCTCACAGTAAGCCCTAGCCAATGGCTGACTCATGTGGAAATAGAAAAGCCCACCTCCTGTGTTCTGATGTGGTGCAGACTTGGAATTGTTACTCTCTAGAGCACCCGATGGGATCAGGCTGAGTTTGGAAACTCACCTGAAACCCCACCCTCGTTTGGCTTGTCCCTCCTGATCGTGTCTCCCCTGTGCTTTTCCTGGATCCCCTGGGGACACTTCCTTAAATAAATCGCTTCTCCATGAAAAATAATAATAATACATTGTCAGACACAGCCAATGGTAACCAACATACACTGCTAATGTTTTGTTTTCAAACCTCATCTTCTAGAGTTACAATTCTGTTAGGTTTATGATCTACCTCCCAAGTAATATCAGACAACAGTTTTACTAAATGTCTTGCCACTTTGTAACATGAACCTCAATTTCTGTAGCCTTCAATATCAATTTCTACTTTCATTAAGCTAAGGATTCATATTTTTGTTTTCTGCTAGAACCCTCCTTCTATCATCACTATCTGTATTAGTGAAGTCAGGTTAGGTTATACTGCCTGTCATAATTCTAGAATGTACTGCTTGCTCGTGCCATGTGCCCAGTGTTTGTCATTTCGGAGCTCTATTTTACAAATTCACTAAGGGACCCAGGCTGAAGGGTCCATTATCTTCCACCTTCCCCATTCTGACAAACCGTCCCAAAACTTGGAGGCTTGAAACCACAGTGATAAACTTCTCATGATTCTGAGCGTTTGACTGGGTGATTTCTGCAGGATAAGCCTGAGATCGCTGATGCAGCTGCATTCAGCTGGAGAGCTGGAAAGCCGGGCCATGTCCCACCATGTGGCCTTTTCTCCTTAGGAAGGCTAGCCCAGGCTTTATCACATGGGGGCAACAGGGCAAACCCCAGGAAGCAAGCTTTATCAAGCTGCTTCTTGCCTCATGTTTGCTGATCTCCCGTTAGCTGAAGAAAGTCACATGGCCAAACTTAGTGTCACTGTGGGAAGGGACAAAGGCATGGAACTGGTATATAAGTCCTTGATTGTATAACAATCTACCACAATCATCTAGAGCAGAAGTCAGTAAACTTTTTCTTTAATGTCTAGACAGTAAATATTTTAGGCTTTGCAGGCCATACTGTCTTTGTTACGATTTCTCAACTCTGCTGTTAGAGACAATATATGAATAAATTAGCATAGCTGTGTTTCAGTAAAACTTCATTTACAGTAACAGGCAGCAGATCAGATTTGGCCCACCACTGATCTGAAACATAAAGCCTTTATTTAGTCTCTGAGGTGGGAAGAAGGCTGGCTTTTTTATGCTTTCGCTCAGAAGTAACACGTCAATTCTGCCTTTAACCCATTGGCCAAAATTAATCACATGGCCATAGCTAATTGCAAGGAGGTGAGGTGTCTAATCCTGTCCTGTGCCTGGACAGAGAGGGCAGCTAGGCTGGGTGGACACTAGTCACAGGAGTCACATTAAGACGACGTCCATTCAGATCTTAATTATTGAGTACCAGGTACTCCTTATAAGCACTGAAGAAAATGGACACAAAACCATTGTCCTCATAAGCTTATACAGAAACCATGATGGCGAATACACTGAGAGGGATGCATATTATACATCTTTGCTCTGGAATTGCTAGTTATTTATTGTCTCATTATTTGTGCACTTGGCTTTTTCACAAACTGGGCTGTGAGCAACTTGAGGGCATGATTAGATCTTCTCAATGCCTAATACAGGTGACTAACTCTTAAGTACTCCTTAAGTATCAAATAATTGATTGAATGACTGAATAATCAAACCATCAGACCAAAGCAAGGATTTATTTTAAACTTCTAGGGGACCTGATTATAGGTGCCTAATTTCTCAGGCACTTAGTTACCTAACTCCCTAATCCCCAGAACTGCCACAGTACCAAAGGCCTGGCATCGTTGAGTTGTTTCTCTACATGTGAAAAGAGACAAGAATAGGCTCCAAGAATTAAAATCTATATTTCTTCCATTCTAATGGTGTGAAAGGGTCATCCAGCAAAAGTTTCTGCAGAGAAAGAAGTACCGTAACGGTTTAGGTTAATTTGCTTGCTTTCAATGTCCCTTGCACAGGTAACAGAAACCATCAACTTGCCTTATTGTTACCGTCTTAGAAAATACAAGTATCCTCATTTCATACTATCTGAAGATTAGTTTTTCCCTCTTCTGGTCCCTCCTTCCCTCCTTTGAGGGGTGGCAGTTCTGGTTTTTCACACTCTCTGCCAAAACCCTGGGATGTGCACTAAAGTTATGGACAGTCATTGAGAAAACGGACTATAGATGGGAGCATGGGCCTTGAAGAGGTTTGTGCCAAATAATAATCCCATGCCTGTAAGCCTTAAACAGCAATGGACTTACTTTACATATCATATAAAATAATGGCTTTTATAAACGTGAGTGTTTTTCAAAGAATGCCTATTTGTTTTAGGTTTGTGAGCTGAGCCATTATTAAGTTGGGCTATAGTCCAGATTTTATCACAGTCAAGTTCAGTTCTTACCTTGGAACCAATAGGGCAAATTCAGGATACAGTCTTTTGAAACAGATATTTTTACAAAGTAATCCATTGGGAAACACATCCGTAGAGAATACAGATTGACTCAACTCCTGCCCTCAAGAAGTTGACAATCTAGTGATTAATTAAGGCATGTAAAAATGTGACTGTAATACAAGCAATACTATTTGTGATCGAATAGAAACTGGGTCAAAGTACTATGGGAATGCAAGTGTAGGTATCATGCTGAGGAAAGGAATAGAAAAATTAGAGAATACATTCATGGAATAAAATCCTTAAACTGTATGTGCAAAGATACATAGGGCTTTGAAAGGACTTTATGGGGAAAAGCATATTCTAGGCACAAGGAAGGCTGAGGGGCAGACAGGGGCCTAAGAGGCACTAGTGGGAGAGCCAGTGGACCCTGAGGCTCTGATGACTGCCAGGCTGCAGGAGCTGAAGAGAGAGAGGAGGCCGAGATGACATCTAGGTGCCCTGGATGCTGAAGATGGTCAGGATTTCAGAAGGAGGAGCTATTGTACAAGAAAAAAGCCCAGTGACCTTGAAGTCAGTTCCAATTTGAGTCTGTGATTCTCTCTTGTGGTTCTGTGTACACTCTTTCTGCTAATTCTTCATTTGGTCAAAATTAGAATAAATTCATTACATGTCACGCAGGCACCTAGCTTTGTTATCCAGAAATTTTCAGTCTGTCTTATTTTGCTGTCCTAACAATAATAAGGGCCCAGACTTGGACTGAACCAATATTGCAAATCATCAGAATCAATGTTCCCAAACATAAGGAGGTTCTTGCCCCTGCCTTCAGGTAATGCTGGCTGTGAACATGATGTTCTTGGGGTTGTTTTTCAAATAGTTCTGCTCTGCTTTCAAATATTTATCCGTTTAAGCAACATTGGTATTTGTGGCTGAAAGGACATCTGTTCTGCTGGCCTGGCACCTGGCTTCTGAGATAGAACTTTTTTTAAGTCTTAGTCCACCTTCTCACACTAGAAATATTAATTTGGACTCCGAGCAGATGGCATTATCTAACCTTGTTACAAGTTATGGGAAGGACCTTGGGAGGATTATGACATGCCTTGTTGGTAAGTTTGGGGTAGGTTTTTGTGTCCCCAGCACAGAAGAGTTTCCTTGTGGTAGTAAGTCAACACTCAAGAGCCTGCCAGTTTTTTGCTCATTGCATTTCAAGTCCTGAGTTTTAGAGGTTTTTTTCTTTTTCCCAGAGATTCACACGCACGCATAAAGCTCGCCCGTGGCTGGGCTCCAATCCTTACAGAGTTATTTGCCAATTCCAAAGAAGCAGAGAATGAAGACACTTATGCCCCGGCATCCATCATTGTTTTTTTTCCAATGAATCTTACAGCTGGATATTGAAAAATATGGATTTGATCTTTCTTTCTTTTTTTTTCATCTCAAGTCAGCTGAATAGCCTGTACAGATGGATACAAAGAAATATAACCAGGAAGTGTTTGTGGTATTGAATCAGAACTTGAGACATTTAAAGTCAGCCATTTCAGTAGTGTTTCTTATTTCTTTTTAATCAGATTTTGAATATTCTTTTTGCAGGTTGTGTTCCTGACTGGCTTTGGCTATGTATATGTGGACATTGTCCATCAGTGTGGCACGGTCTTCATCACTGTGGCCCCAGAAGGAAAAGCAGGACCTATTGTAACCAATACCAACAGGTAGGTTTAATTATTATCCCAGTAGCAGTATAGTAAGCTTTCCACTAGGAAGTTGTAAACCTGTTATTTACCATGCTTTGTCATCCCTATATGTACATTAAAGCTTTTGGTAAAGTACTGTGTAATCAATCAGGATATGGTTATTAACACTAAATCATACCTAAACCAGGTAGCAATCTATCATCTTACTTGGGTACCCCTGCGACTTCTTCTGTGATAAGTTTAACATACTGATTTACAAACTAAGGCGTGCATCTTAACATTATACATTATCATTTGCGTGAAATACAAATTTAATACTTCTGTATCCACATGACAACCTAGTAATTAGTAATTCTAGTAATTAGTAATTAGACTTAGCAGTGAGAGCTACATCAAAAATAAATTCGCCTCTTAAAGCCACATTTCCCCCCTTCAACCTGAATGTTGCCATCAGGTTTTGCAAACATGAGCCAAAGAGTTAATATCCTTAATTTAAAAGAACTCATATAATGTAGTAGGAATACTATTAAGATAGATTATCCTTCCAAAAATAAAATAAGAACTATCAACATGAACAGAAAATTCTAGAGAGAGGAAATAGAAGTAATCAAAGAAATGAATACTTAAACAGATATTACTTACCAAATTAACAATTATGTTCCATCACATACAGTCCTAGTGGAAGTGTAAATTGTTACCATTTTCTGGAATATTAAGAGCTTTAAAATCCCTTTGGCTTGGAAATTCCAATTTTAAGAATTTAAGAGCTAAAGCAATAATTAGAGAAGCAGGCAAAGACATATGCAGAGAGATATTTATCACATTGCCAACTATAATTGCAAAATATTTAGAGTACAAATGCCCATTGATAGGAAAATAGATGATACATAAATGGTATAGCCACAGAAAATAGGCTTAGAGGATTTTAGTGGAATAGAAAAATTCATATGATAAGCCTAAAATAGAGAAAACAAAATATAAAATTGCACATTCACAGAGAGAGAAAGAGAGAGAGAGAGAGAAAGAGAGAGAGAGAAACTTTCCTAGAAATAAGCCTGAAAAGAAAAGAATCACAGTGTTAATAGATGTGGGGTTATAAGTGATTACTATTTAATAATTTTCTGTACATTAATTTTCCTACAGAAAGAATTTATTTTGTAATCAGAAAAAGTGATTTATTATTATTCATAATTTAACATTTATATTAAATAATGATACCAACTTTTAGACATTTGTTTAAGCCCCTCTTTAAAAAAGTTGCTTTTCATATATGGTTAGGAACTCATTAATTTGGACCCTGCCAAATTATTATTAATTTTAATTTATAATATTTCAAACAAAGGTGGGTAGAATGTTTTCTTTGCCCAGAAGTGTTTGTAAAAAATTAATAGTATAGCAAAACTGGAGAGTAAATTGTATCAAGTCTATACAACAATTTCAGAAACATTTTATCTAGGGCATTAGTAGGGCACTCTTAATGACAATAGCAACATACATCCATACATTCAGTGGTAGAAATAGGAAAGGCATCGGTATTTACTTGTGCTTCCTTAATTCATTTATTCAACAAATATTTTTCAAGTGCTTACTGGATGCCAGATGCTGTTTTAGGGATAGCAATTCATCAGTGAATAAAAACACCAGGGCCAGCCGAGTGGCTCAGTCGATTAAGAGCTCGCTCAAGAGTTTGAGCTCTGAGCAACAGCAGTTCGATTCCCGGCCTGAGCTGAGCAGCTGCTGAGCTGCCAACAGGTGGCAGGATGGCTCAGCTAAAGAAAAAACAACAACAAAAAAAACCACACCAAAATCTCTGCTCTTGGGGAAATCACATTCTCAGACCTGTGGAATGGGAGGACAAAGAATAAACATAATAAAAAAAGATATTTTATGGTAATCATAAATCTAAAGTTATTTTCTTGTAATAAAATGTAAAGACAGTTGGCATTCTGCAGATATAAAAATAGAGCCTAGTAAGAAAGACTAGGAGTACCAGAGCATAGGGACAGAGAGAGCATAGTTTTTAAAAACTTGTGCAAGTAAGCCTCACCAAAAAGTTGACATTTGAGCAAAGCCCTGAAAGCAGCAAGGAGATTACTAGTGTGATTATCTGGAGGAAAAGCTTTCCAGACAGAGGGCACAGCCAGTTCAGAGGTCTGAAGCAGTGTGCCTGGCATGTTGGAGACTCAGAGAAGAGGCCAGCCGGGCCAAATGGATGGGGTGGGCGGGAAAGCAGCCATGCCTGAGGTCAGGGAGACGCATTGAGTAGGGCTTAGTTCTAATTCTGAGTGAAATGGGGAAGTCATTGGAGCATTTTGAGTAGAAAAGTTACATGGTCAGACCTAAATTTTTAGAAGATTGTTTAGCTGCTTTGTTGAAATAGACTGTACAGATGCAAGGGTGGAGGCTGGGAGACTACTTAGGATCATTACAGTTATTCACGCTAGAGATGCAGACGGCTTTAGACTGTGGTATCAGTGCAAGTGGTTAGAAATGGTCAGTTTCTGTATGTCCTTTTAAGGGCAAGCCCATGGTTTCCCCGATGCATTGGAGATGGGTTAGAAATAAAGGCATCAAGGAGGAGTCCAAAATATTTGGTCTAAGCAACTGGTAGAACATGGTTGCCATTAACTAAAGTGGGAAAGACTATATGTAGGTTTGGGGGTAGGAGCTAGAGTTTGAATACAGACCTGACAAGTTGAGTATCTTTTAGACATACAGTGACTCTGTGGATAGGCAGTTACATATATACCTGGAGTTCAGGGAAGTTCAAGGCTAGCAATGTGACTTTCTAAATCATCAGCATATAGATGACTTCTCAACCATGAGACTGAACAAGATCTCCATGGAGAACAAGTGGAGATGGAGAAGACGAAGGGCTGGGACTTGGGCACCTTAACTTTCTGGGCAGAAAGGAGGCAGTAGTCGCATAGGTGACCAGACACATAAAGCATTTCCAGCAGGAGGGGGTTACTGACAACATCAGTGCCCCTGTAGGTCAGGTGAGCCACAGACTGAAAGTCTGTCATTTGATTTAGCCACACAGAAGTCACCAGTGGCCTTGAGGAGAGTTGCTTTGGTACACTGGTGAGGCACAGAGCCTGCTTGGAGCAAGGTTAAGAGAGAACAGAAGGAGAGGACTGGCAAACAATGTGTACAGAAAATACTTTGGAATTTTTATGTAGTGGTAGCTAGAGGAGGTAGGATTAACAAGAGAGATTTTTTAAGATAAGAGAAAAAACAGCATGTTTATAAGCTGCTAGTAATGATGAAAATGAATGATGACCTTGAGGAAGTGCGAGCAGAGTGACTTAGTGCACATAGAGATGTGAGCACGGGCACAGAGCTCCAGACATGGCAGGAGAGCAGAGCACACAGGCCCAGATGCTGGTAGATGGGCCCTTGTGGTGGGAGTTCATGGTGAGTTTTCTTCTGCTTGCTTTACTTCTTCAATTTAAGGAGTCTTGGTTATTTTCTTTTGTCTTCCTGCCTTTTGATGATTATGATAGAGGATTAGTGCACAAAGATTAGAGGGATTTGGGAGTAAAAATATGGTGTTGATAAGGGGAACATAGAGAAACATGACAAGAACTTGTAACAGTCCCATTGGGAACAGTTCCCGATACTGTTGGAGTATGACGGGCTCTGTCCAGACACGATGTACTGAAAGTTGACTTCTTACTTATTTCTTACGAGAATCCGATGGGACATCAGGAGGTGTTCAATAAAGCACTCTCATTGAAAAGAAAACCAAGGGGAAATTAATGTTCCTTTCCTTTTCTTTTCTCCCCTAGAACCCTGGAGAAGATCATGACGTTTAAAATGTTCATCACTCAGTTGAGCCTGGCAGTGTTCGATGAGCTTACCCACCACAAAGCATCATCTGAACTCCTGAGACTCACGCTGGACAGTGTTTTTCTCCAGATGGCCCCAGCAGCCGGCCACCTCCCTGGGGAGGAGCCCACCACGGCACTCTCTCAGCTGTACTGTGTGGAGGTGTACTGTGGGGACCTGCAGTTGGACAACCAGCTGTATAACAAGTCCAACTTCCACTTTGCTGTCTTGGTCTGCCAGGGAGAAAAACCAGAGCCTACCCAGTGTGCCAAAATGCAGAGTCTTCCTATATCCAGCCAAGATTTGGAAGAATACAAGAAAAACTGTTTTATCAAACTTTGCCTCACCTTAAGTGAGAGCGAGAACTTATTTGATATTAACGAGTTCAGTTTTGAATTGAAGCCTGCTCGCTTGTATGTGGAAGATACATTTGTATACTACATCAAAACGTTGTTTGAGACCTACCTTCCTAACAGCAACCTGGATGGTCCCCCCACCAGACTCTCAGGGGGCAAACAGGAGTTGCCCATGCAGGTCAGACAGCACGCCAGGGCCTTGGTGAATCCTGTGAAGTTACGGAAACTGGTGATACAGCCAGTGAGTCTCCTTGTCAGCATCCACGCTTCCCTCAAGCTGTACATAGCTTCCGACCACACTCCGCTCTCCTTCTCTATGTTTGAAAGAGGCCCGGTCTTCACCACAGCCAGGCAGCTCGTGCATGCCCTGGCGATGCACTACGCCGCTGGGGCTCTCTTCAGAGCAGGTGAGGACACAAGCTGAGGGTCTGCTGGAGCCTGGGCTGACGGCAATGCTGCGGGGTAGTGCCCTTCCGACTTCCAGACAGAGGGAGGCACTGTGGTGAGAGATGAAAGCATGGGCTCTGCAGTAGACCGCAGTGGGTTTAAATCTAGACTCTGCCACCGCTTGCTCTAAGGCCTTGGGCAAATTAATGCACCTCCCCAAGTCTCAGTTTCCTCATCTCTAAAATGGGTTAAGATTTTTGAGAGGATACAATGAAAGTATTTAAAGTGCCCTGAATTTTGCTTGGCACTTAATAAACACCCAAGCAATAGTAGCTGTTACATTCACTGTTATATAATGCAGAATTGTAATTCCGTTTACTTACACTCTTTTGGCTCCTTGCAGGTACAAGGCTCTATAAGAGCACACCAGTGCAGCCAGGAAAAGCAGCCCAGGCCCTCAGCCCCTAGGCCTAAAAGAAACCTAGTTCTAGGTTGTTAGCTTTCCTCATTACAGCCCTTCATGAATAGCTGTAGGTGAGAAATTCAGAGGACTTGTTTGCTCATAAGATGCATAAAGAGCCTTCTACCTCCCTAGTGCAGCCCTGCCTGTCCAGACAGAAGACAAAGAGAAGGCTGTCGGTGTCTCAGCCTCCACAGGCCTGAGCTGGAAAAGTCTGCAGGGGGTAGTTTGAATATGTGGGCAAAATGTGTGGGGAGGATGGTGCACGAAAGGTTGAGTGTTGGGGACCAAGTTGCCTCAGCGTACTTGTGATAACCAGCTTCAAAGCACAGGTTCTGGACCTAAATTCACTGTAAAGCAGTTTCATTTTGGCAGTCTGGCTCCTCATGTTCCCATGAATTCAAGCAACAAATACTAGCCAGAGTTGGTTGTGGGCCCTTTTGGGGAAAAAAACACAGAAGTCTTACTTTCTGAAAGTCAGGAAGGAGAGAACCTTTGTAACACTGTACTTGGTGAATGTGGTGCAGTAGAAGATTAACATTGTAGCAGTAAAGGACCCATGTTGCCATACTGTTAACATTACATTTTCTCCATAATGAAATTCATAGAGTTAATAGGGCTGCCCAGAACTCTTAACTGAAAATGACAAGATCAGGGAAGGGCCCGCCTGAACTGTTGTTTTGATAGCTTGCACAACAATGAAGACATATTTCCCTCTTACTAAGAAATCATTTAAAAATTGGCAGTTAACATTTCAAATTTGGTAGATCGGTATATTTATAAACAATTCCAGAAACGTACCCTTTCAGGAGGCTTTGCTTTTAACACGAGAAGCAGGCATGTAGATTGCTGAGCGCCGATCAGGGTCCTGGGAAGGAGTAAGTCTCCCACCCAGCCACCCCATAACACTGAGGTATGGGGAGCACCCATCTGTGTAATGAGCTGGCAGAGAAACGCCAGCTGTGACACCGAGGAGCCATGTCCCTGCAGTGCTAAAAATGACCTCTCTCTGCTTTGTTTTATGTTTTTAATGAGCTTTCACAAGAACATTCTGTTTGGATTTTTTGTAATTCACCTAAAAATCCTCTAAGCTGTTCTCCCAACCTCATTACATGCTGAGAAAAGAAATTCTGATATGGAGGGCCAAGTTTTTAGAGTCTGTTGGGAATTCTGTCACTAATAACCTACAGTCTGAAAATTACCTGGAAGAAAACAGTGATTGAAAGAGTTGGAAATGGGAAGATGGTAGGAGGTTACTGACCCCGGGTAGCAGAAGGAGTGTATGAGCATTCTTATAGAAGAAGGGAGAAGGCTGGCCTGGGGGTGAACGGGTGTATCACCATCTCCCATGGGTCAGGGTTCACCCGTGGCACTTGATTAAAGGGTTCCTGACTGGGATGGTTGAAATACCCTGACCTCATTTCTAGGGAAGTTTGTGGATTCACCTCGAAGAGGTTTTAAAAATAAAGAAACAGTAATTAGAAATGAGTAACTAAGCCTATTTGAGGGAAAGCATGTGGGCTTTATAATTTCCTTGGCCACCTCTCTACCCCCAAGTCTCAGTTTGACGGAAAGCCAGACAGGCATCCCTTTTTAACAAAGTTCCCAAGCAATAAGCTAAGGATGTATTTGCTTTGGGAGGAAAGTAGTTAAAGAAGCAGTGCCCTGGGATACTTTCTGCCTTTTTCTGGCCAGCTCAGCTGTCACTGAGAAGTAGCTCTGGTCCACAAATTGCCCTCCATCAGGCTGTGGCCCTAATCTAGGCGATCCTACCCCAACTTTGTGTGGCCAGGGGAGCTAGCTAGCAGACTGGGTTGTTTCTGCTCACTCTGTGCCCCTGTGCTGGCCTCAATGGTCCCACTGTAAAGGAATCTTTGCTGGACAATAGCTATTCTTTTCCTTATTTCCATGTGAAATCTTCGGAGAGAAGGGGAATTAAGATGTCTCTAGCCCAACCTTCTACCTCCAGGCAGAAGCTTACAACTATTCCAGGCTAAAGGACATCTGCTGTTTTTTTACCTCCAGAGAGGGCCCTCCAAGGAAGAGCATTCCACAGCCTTCCTCAGAAAGCTGCCTACTCGGGGTTGCGGCCTGGGCTCACAGAAAGTGGGGGGATGGGGCTTTGGAATCAGGCAAACCTGGGTTGGAAACACAGCCCACGTGTCTAACCATCAGGGAGATTATGAGCAATTGACTTCATCTCTGAGCCAGTTTCATCCTTTTCCTGCTTGCCTGGGAGACGTGGAGTCAGGGTAACACCATGTCGGAGTCTCCTCTGTTCCCTGTGCCTATACACTTCCTGATCCCAGGAAGAGGCTCAGTCAATAGCTAATCTGAGTTTATGTAAAGGGAAGTAACAATACTTTTCTTGGACAGTTTCTTGTGAGAATCAAATAAGCTGAATGCCTGACACCCATAGGTTCTCCCATTTATAATCTTCATCTTCTGGAAATTATTCTCTCTTAACCTAAACCCTAGTGTTATCTTCCTAATGTTCCCGAGAACAGAGGTGGGCTCAAAATTTAAGAACGCCTCTCTCTACAGTGGCTGGGCCTGGGTGTCTGGGTCCCGTTAGGGCTCTGGCTGGGCTTTGCACCCACACTGAGGGATCAGTGACTAGACTGCGGCTCTGTCACAAGCCTGTCCTGCAAGAACCTGCAGGTGAGGCGGAATTGACTCCCCTCGGCTTCTGTCCCTGGGCCTCCCCTTGAGAGCCCTCTCAGCTCGGGGCTGGGCCGGCCGGTGGGTTCCCAGAGAAAGTCGCCTGTTCAGAACGCTCCTCTCCTTAGCCCTTGGCCCTTGCCTGCACCTCCAGGCCTCTGGCGAGAGCCCCAAGCCCCCACCCCAGGGAGGAAGGCAAAGGGAAGGCACTGCTTGAGTCCGCACCACAGCCACGTTCCCACGAGGCAGTGCACACAGCAGTCAGGCCCCTGAGCAGGCCAGCTCCTGGCAAGCCCCAGCTCAAATAGGAAACCAGATCCAAAGGTCCCCCCCTGGGACATTCCCAGGGAACACTCCCCTCTCTCTGACCTCATCAGCATGTCCATGTCACCAAGTTTACACAACTGGAACTAGGGTTGAAGGGGAGACATTTGTCTGGCTCCAGCTCCGCTCCAAAGGGAAGCACTCAGCTTGGTAGGATTGGGAAAGATTAAAAATAACTCCTCCATCCTTGTCAGAACTTTGCATCCCCTTTGTAACACCCCATTTAGCAGCTGGCCTCCCCTGACCGTGCATCTCCTCCTGTCCCAGTGCCTCTGCTGCCCCAAGGAGGCTTTACAGATCACATCCCGGCCTGCTAACACCTGCAGCCTGAGGGCCCCCTCTCCCTGGGTGGGTGGGAGCGTTCATCCCCTACACACGGGTCCCTTTTAGCGGGAATATGGGAGACTCCGGCTGGGAAGCCATATTAAAGTTATTTGTGAGGCTGCCAAAAGGATCACTTTGATTTATAAAGTATGAAAGTTTGCCACATCTGAATTCACAGTGAATGAGTTATTTCCCATATTTTGTTCCAAAGGAGCTTATTACATTCTCAAGTCTAGTGTAAAAAATGAATTGCAGGGAAAATGGGTCACTTTTCCCCAATGTGGACAGTGCTGTAGTTAAGGTTTCAGTAACCCCTTTCCTTTGGTCCCTTCCAGGCTGGGTGGTTGGATCTCTGGAAATCCTCGGCAGCCCGGCCAGTCTGGTGCGAAGCATCGGCAACGGGGTCTCCGACTTCTTTAGGCTCCCGTATGAGGGGCTGACCCGGGGCCCAGGAGCCTTTGTGAGTGGAGTTTCCAGAGGGACAACATCATTTGTAAAGCACATTTCCAAAGGTAGCTATTTTGGTTCCTTGTAATAATGCCTGTTTTCATTCCTTCCTGTCTTATTTTTTCATTTTTAAAGAACGTGTTAAAGTTTTAAATGCGTTAAGTTTGCCTCTCACTTTGTTTGGCGTGTTAGCTTGCAGTGAAATGTTGGATTTGTAACAAAGCTCATGCATAACATCTTATGTTTTAAACAGATCACTGCTTGCCTGTGTAGTGTGTGAAAATGTTTCAGAAACTTCAGAATTTTAAACCTCCCATTGGGAAAACAAGGATTGGCTCAACTGTTATTCCATGTGATAAATACAGAAATATTAAAGGTGTTCAGGACTTCTGCTAAACATCAGAAATCCTACACTGTGTTGCCTCATCATATTTTTTTTTAATGTAGATACAGTTGTCATAACTTTCGCATGGATATGGATACATTTTGACATGGAAGCCGGTCTGGAGTCAAACTGCCAACTTTTCTCTAGCATGCCACGTAAACAGTGCCATCTTGTGGCCTAAACAGGTCATCAGGCACAGAAGCCACACTGCTGCCCCGTACAAGGAGAATGTTTTCGTTTCATCCCTGTGTTTGCTTGACGATATTTTGGTCAGGTTGGCAGTGACCCGGGAACTAACCAGGGCCATCTGAGTCTCCCTTTCTTCTCAGCAGGAGGCAGGGAAAACAGCGCAAAGGGCTTCTCCCCCATAAGACGCTTTTTACTGTCAACAGTGCCGCAACTCTGTTACGAGTAGACAGGTTATAGAAGTCTCTAGAAGGCCTCTAAAGAAGACTTGAGATTGAAAAATGAGAACCCATGATCCATGGGGGTGGGGTGGGGGTGCTGGCAAAAGGACAGCAGGAGCAGTAAACCAAATTCCCTGGACAATGACAGGACCATTCCCCTGGGACCCAGTCATCCAGGAGGCCTGCGAGCTGAGCTGCAGGAACTCACAGATGAGTCACGGGTGGATTTCTCACTTCTGACACTTAAATCTTTGAGGTTCTGTTGTTTTTATTATAAAATGGGACAACCAACACCTGCTAAATGGAACTCCATTGGTAATTTTAGCGTGCTGACTCACTGAATGTTTTTTTACACTTGTTCTCTCCTTCTCTTAGCAAAATCCATTTGGTTTGTGTGTGTGTATGTGTGCATGGATTTTTTTCTTTTCAGATTCCTGGTAAAGATGCAGCTGCAAAAACATCTTCCATTTCTTCTTGAAACTAGACATGCATAACAGATGAGCTAATTCATTAGCTTCCAAAATGTGTCCATTGATGTCTTTCAGTTTTGCTCATTGAGATCTATGCAGACTTGCTAGAGGGGATTATGAATATTTTGAGCAAGATGCTAAAATAGCCTTTCTTAGGAAAAAACAGATGGAATCGTGCCTTTTACATGATTTACTCCCTTTATTGTCCTCACTTTTCTCAGCTAACATCCTGGATATAAAAATGGTGCATATTCTCTGTGGCACAATAATTATTTCCTCAGAATGTCAAACGATAAAGCTTACTGTCTCCCTTTACTATGACTAAAGTAATAAGAAGGTAATAATTTTTAGTTCTAAAGTGGAAACATTTCTTTACAATCTATCTAAAATTCAGCAACTAACCTTAACCTTTAAACTCAGAGCAAGCAAATTTTAACCTTCAAACCTGGGCCTTAATGAGGACTTCAAAACTAACTGTTTTAGCCAAGCCTTGACAATCAAATGATAGTGAATGATAGTGTCATATGAAACTCTAGGCATTTTTCTGGTAGCAGAGATTCTTATCCTACCCCTTTTAAGGAGTGCCATCACTCTCATAAGCAAGTGTAAACCTTCACCCCATTTTCTTAAGGCTGTGCTTGAAACTGCCCATGAGAAAACCACCATCACTCGCCCCCTGGGCACATCCAGAAGGCACACTGCCCCTCTCCCCCGCCCCAGCCCTCTAGGGACCACTCCATTGGCGGCCACCATATATGTGACCAGGAGGCCAACCCACATGCTCTTGTGCCCTCAGGTACCCTCACCTCCATCACCAACCTGGCCACGAGCCTGGCCCGGAACATGGACCGGCTCTCGCTCGATGAGGAGCACTACAACCGGCAGGAGGAATGGCGACGGCAGCCCCCAGAGAGCCTGGGCGAGGGGCTCCAGCAAGGCCTGTCTCGGCTGGGCATCAGCCTGCTCGGTAAGAGGGTGCCGGGACCGTGGGCTCACACCTGCCCTCTGGCTCTGCCAGCAGGCCAAGGGGTGCTGCTCCCAGCACTGGGGGTGGTTGTGAAGTGCAGATCCTTTGTGAAGACAAAGCTGAGCTCAGAGAGGATACTGCGCTCGGGCTGTCTCCCACCCTGAGTCGGTGAAGCCCCGGCCAGCACCGTGTTGTGGCACCACGGGGGGGCCTCCTGTCCCATCGGAGGCTCACCTGTGCAAACGCTGAGCTCCGCCTTCCTTCGCCTCTAGTATGCAATGTGTCTCTGGCCTCCTTGCAGTTCTCCCATAGGAGGCCCCCTGAGGATGGGGGTGTCAGCACAAGGACAGCGGCACACAGCTGTTTGCTTGTTAACGTGAGTTAACGGGCCAACCTGAAACACTGGCCCCTCACTACACAGAGATTGCAGACGTTGCTTCTGTGTGAGAAGCACTTGAGCAGCTTGCAACTGTCATGTAAGCTTCAGTGAGGAGCCCGCGTTTTCCTTTTGTTTTTTTAAGAGTGCCTGACTCAGGGTAATTATCGTTTGTCGAGCAGCCAGATGGTATAGTTAGAGGTGAAGATTACTATGGATATTTCTGAATATTAACAAATGTTTGAAAAATAAGTTGCTTTGGAAAAGTCTATAAAAAGGAAGCTTCAGAGCTGAACTTTTGCAGAGCAGGATTTTCAAGGATATCTTTTGTTTATTTGTTTGCAAAGGAATTTAAAACTGTGTTGCTTGGCAGCATGCCTGCCTAGCATCTGAAGGAGTGTGCATCTCACAGAGATCAAAGTGCCCCAAAGCAGAGGGAACAAAGGTCAGAAAAGATGAGCTTGAAAGGATTTGTCCTCTCTCGTCTGCAGTTCCAAACACAGCCCCTCAACTCCCACCGTAGCCAGCTGAGGCTCTGAGAGGAAGCAGTAAGATGTTACAAGTGCAGGTTAAGTTACCAGAAGTTGTTTAAGTCGTAACATTCAGGGGTGTGGGCCACTGTCATTTGATAATGCATGGAAATTGGGAGGCTAATGGCCTGGTGGTGGAACTGCTGGGTAAAGGAGCAACCCGAAAGCAGTGGGGGCTGCTCTACAGAAGGGGGCTGTCGGGAGGGGGAAGGGGGGCGGGGGCAGAGCCCCCGATAAGATGTCCAGGCCCTTCTTTGTGACCTCAGGCAAGTCCTTATCTTCTCTGTACCTGGGTTTCTCTTGTAAATTAGGGCTGGAAATAGCATTATTAAAAGTCATGATGGTCAGCCAGGTGCCAGGCTCAGGGCCCGTGTTTGGTCATCAGCACCCATCATGTTATATTATGGTAGTAAAGGTACCGTAAGTGTTGCTGGATTTCAAAAAGGGTCACGTGAGCAATGGCAGGAGGCTTTTTGCTTTAGTTTTACTCCAGTGGGTTAAGTTGCTGTAACCACAGGAAGCAACAGTGAGATTTTTCTTGGGGGCCTCAAGTCATAGTTTGGGGATTGTGGGACCTCTTTTTGCTAAGAATTGTGGGCTTCCGTGCATTCTGCTCTGAGCAGAAGGGCTTCCTTCCCGCTCTCCGAGCTCTTCCTGGAGCTTGGAGCTCACAGGGGCTCACAGAGGCCTGAGCCGGCTGGCATGTGACTGTTTCCACCCTGACTGACCTGTTCTCCTCCCACCCAGAAGCCCATCCCCACTACCCAGTTTCCACTGTGTGAAACTGTGCCTGATGGTAGAAATCAGTTATATGAGGAGCCAGGGCTCTGCCTTTGTGATGTCGCCTTTGGGGCTCAGCTCCTGTTTTAACCAGGGTAGAAAGTCGTAAAGCTTCGCTCTTTGCTGTAGTCATAGTGGCGTGTACATCCTCATCCATGCAAGGGAATCATCTGGTCTGAGGAAACTGCAGTGGGCTCGCAGAGTCTTTCTGCATCTCTGGTAATTTCCCAAAACCTAGGCGTTCTGGGGGTGACAGACCCTCCTCAGTGTATGCCAGCTGTGCCTGCAGGCGCGGGCCTGACCCTGGCCCAGCAGCACACCCACGCTGTGCTCCTCAGATGGTTCCGTTCACAGTGGGCATCTCATGGTTGGCCCAAACCCGCCTCCTTTCCTCTAAGAGTTTAAGAACTCTCTGTGTCCCACACAATCACTGCATTATCTCAGAGCACCTGGTCCCAGAACCACCTGATGTGGGGCAGGAAGACGAGACAGGGAGAAGTACTGACCAAGCCCCCACACCTGGGAGAAGTATAGATTTGTCACCATTTAATCCATTGCCAGAAATGGTGTTTAAAAGTGCCAAATGCAATTAAGTGCCTAATTGATGCCAGAGCTATTATCATATAATAGTTTGAAATCCATGCTTGGTGAAATCAAAATGCTAGTTCCTCAGTTTCCTCCTTTACAAGACAGAAACTTTAATGACCCACTTAGTAGAAACATTTAAAGAACACATCAGGGTTGACAGAGTCCTTTCACATGTGTCATGTTATTTGATCTTCAAGCCCTAGGCATGGATGAGGTTAACTGACTGCCCAGGTCAAACCTCCAGCTAGGACAAGAGCCTGATCTTCCCACGTGTCATCCACCACGGAGGGCTCCAAGCTGGAAACAATCAGGATGTGGGGAGACTGAACAATTGAAAGTTCCAGGGTGGGGAAAACACATTTCCCCCAAATGTTTATGGGTTGGGGGGCCTTCCTGATGCTGCTTCGCCCTCATGGAGACACTGTGGAGTGTTATGAGGCACTTGAAAAATCAAAGAAAGTCTTTAGCTGCCACCCCCAGCCACATCGCCTCAGGTCAGCGAGGAAGTGTCAGCTGGCAGAGAGATGAGGCTCTTGGACGGGCTCCACCACAGTTTTCGGAAAGCAATGGCTTCTGGAACAATTCTGTTTAGCCTGCAGAACTGGCATCAGGCTTGCCCACATTTACCAGATCCAGCCCCCATACACCCCACTTTCTACTACACCCTGGAGTCTGTGCTACGAGAGGATGTGAGCTCCGTGTCACAGTTACACTCCACATTCCCTCCCAAACGTGACTTCTCTCTCATGAATACCATTGGCAGGATATCAGAGCTTGCTTCTCTGACCCACACTTCTTTTGGGCTGCTGCCTGACTTATGAAGCATTGCTGGATTTCTGAGCAGCCGCACCCTCTGTCTTCACGGCCACTCTTGGGATGCCATTTGGAATCCCAACAAAATCGGCCTCTACCAGATGAATCAGGACATGTTCCTTCATGTCCTGAGCAAAGAGCTGTGTACCCAGAGACGGCACTTAGGAGTAGTGCCTCCGATACCACTGTCAGCCGTCAGCAGATGGGTCTGCAGGTAGCAGGGAACTCAGGAATAACAGTACTTCCTTCTCAGCTTCCTCATCTGTTCTGGTCAGAGTACGCTGATCTCAAGCTGAAATACCTGCTACACGGTGGGTCTCGTTTGTCTCTGGAATGGAGAGCTGCAGAGTGACGTCCCAGCTTAGGCCTGCACCTTTGCTATTGTGACTTAGTTTCAAAGTGCCCAAAATATAATTATACCATGTGGTAAGGACACCACCAAAATAGCCACCCAGGCAGGGACTTGCATGGCCCAGGGACAGTGTTTTTCGCCTAAGACGGGGGAGCAAGTCCCGGAACTGATGAGCGAGGGCCATTTTAGTTCCCTGGCTGCAAAGAAAGCCCTCCTCTTCCAACTACAGGTTACAGAAGGCCAGCCCTCCCCACTTTCTGCCTTGGCCGGCACACGTGGAGCCCAGAGGCGCTCCCCTGCGAGGTGTCCTCTTCCTTCTTTGCCCCACTTCATCACATCACAGCTGTCTCCATGTGGCCGCCCACCCTGTGGGCCTGATGCCAACAGACAAGTCTGGGGATCAGTTTCCACTACTTAAAGCCTGAGAGCAGAGTTTGAGTATATGACAGTAAATAATTTACCAGTTGTGGGATTTAGCTGGATTATACTAATAAGAGAGCCTTCTGAAGCCCTATGAAAAGCTTCTCCTCTCAAGGCACGGCTGCAGACACCACGGAATGGCTGCCAGTCTCTCGCTGCCTTTCTGTTCTCCGCCTCGCACCTGGTGACCAGGGAGGTGTCGGTGTGTGTGACGTGCCAGCTTTCCCCCTTCCAGGATCAGGTGCTGAGCGACGGCATGCGATCTGACAGCTTCTACTCTACCTCTCAGAATCTAACACCTTGTCATGGGGTCCAGGCTTTCCACGTTTCAGGCTGCCCAAATAGTTTATCTATCAAAGCCATAGTAACTGAGCCTTGACTGTGGCTGGTGGCTGCAGAAAGCGGAAGATCAAAGGGTAGTTTCACTGTGATACCTGTTTGCACTTAGGCAGGTAGAAGTTGGAGCCCTGTGTGGATGAGAATCATGGCCCTCAAAGCCCCATGTGTGTACAGGTTGGGCCTGGCGCATTAATGAGAGGTGGGAGAGTCACAGCGAAATAACCACATGCCCCCCCACCCCCAACTCAGTTTTAATAGGCTCAACAGAAATCTGCATTTGAGAAAAGACATTTCTCTCAGAAATGCAGGCAATAATATAATTTACTGATGACTTTGTAATTATTTACCCCAGTTTTCCTACTCTTCAGCATGGAGACCTAGCAAAAAAATCAGACAATGAAATCCTAACAGCGATATTCCTTGATTTGATGCTTTTCACTTTGTCTGCTCTGAAATGACTTGAGGACAAGCCCCTGGGGGTGTTGCCTCTCCCAGGCACTGATGGCAGCCACCACCTCAGTGTGGCTGGTTCCGTTAATACTTCCCAGCTGCTCTGCCTCCTAAGCTCACAGGTGGAGAGCAGAGCATCAGATTCCTCAGACTGAAGATATGAGGCGAGCTCCCCAGCCCGAGTGCCAGGATCGGGTGTCCTGGGGGCGCTGGAGCAGTGATCTCTCTGCCCTCCATAGCAGGGCTGCTGGCGCCAGCTGTGAGCAGCTTCCTCTGCTTCCCGTGTCGTAGTATCTTTAGAAGGTTTGAGAAGGGTTGGTCTAGGCTGGGAAACAGACCTGTCGCCTCAGGTCATTCTTAATCTGTCAATACATAAACTTAAGTGGCTCTGTCAAAATTTAAAGCAATGGAATCCTTGAAGAACATTCCCTTTACTGTTGACCTGAAGGAACCGGCCTTTGGTGTTTCTGGATTTTGTTCAATGGAATATTGCTTGAAATTAGCAGGTCATTAACTGAGACCTGGAAATCTCTGGTTGCTCAGGAGATTTTGAATTAGTGGCATTTGGAATAATGGGGTTTGACGTGTACTAAATTTCTACCAGGGAGACTGTGCGTTTTCATTAATCCTAGCAGGATTGAGTTGAAAACAAAGAATTGTGTCAAGAAAAATGAAATTTTTACCTTTTGCTGAGTTAGGGAACCCTTCACTCCATCCTGGGGAAAATAATCAGAACTGGTGAGGCCTTTACTAGATTTCATCATTGGTCCCTCAAAGAACAAGGACAAACCACCCCACAGGAAAGCCATTAGAACAGACACTGGCGAGGGCAGAGTTTTGCAGCTGTTCTAAAGTGAAGAGTAAGTGGCCAAACCTCAGATAAAAAGAGAAGGAAGTTTGTCAAGACTGGCAAAGGGCAGAGCTTGGTGGTTAAGAGCTGGGCTGTGACTCTCAGTCCCTAGACTCAGAATCCTGCCTCAAGCATAGGACAGCTGTGTGACCTTGGGAAAAGCTACTTAACCTCTCAGTGTCTCAGAGGCCTTATCTGGGAAGTGAGGATAAACACAATGCCTGACTCCTAGGATTATGAAGATTAACGACCTCATACAAGTGAAGCTCTTCACAGTCCCCAGCACACAGTAAGCACTCAGATCAGATTAACTCTATAGTCATGCTCAGCTTAACAGGGATTGCGTTCTGAGAGGTCCATCAGTAGGCCATTTCGTCATTGGGCAAACATCAGAGTGCAGTTACACAAACCTAGCAGTATATGCACACCTAGGCTGTGGTGTAGCCTGTTACTCCTAGGCTACAGCCAGTACAGCCTGTTGCTGTACAAAACAACAGGAGATTCAATCAGGCACAAAACAGGATGATGACAATCAGGAGACACAGTAAACATAAGATGTCTGAGGCTGCTGCCAATGTGACACAGCACACTGTTTTACAGCAAACTGCTTTTATAAGTAGAAAGAGCACACTCAAAAAAAATGATAAAAAGTATAACAGCAGGTCCTCAAAGAAAGTTGTTTCATTATAACATTGATGAGGTCCCATAGGAACTTAACTCTTGTTTATATCAATTAGCCTCTGGTAAAACTGGTTTCCTTAATATGTCGTTTTGTTTAAAGTCACAGAACCTAACTTTGACCTTAAGTGAAGATTTACTGTATAGTAAATACATAAACCAGTAACCAGTCATTTATCATTATCAGGCATTATGTACTGTACATAATTGTATATCTGTACTTTCATACGACCGGCATGTAGTAGGCTCATTTACACCAGCATCACCACAGATACACTGAGTAACACATTGCACTTTATTACGGCGGCTACAAGGTCACCAGGTGATAGGAATTTTTCGGCCCTATCATAATCTTAGGGGACCACTGTCATTTATGTGCTCCGTTGTTCACCAAAATGTCGTTATGTGGCACATGACTATAATAGAAATAATAATTACTATATTAACAATTCTTATTATTAAATAATTAATATATTAAGTTATTGTTAAATAATTGCTCTTATTTAAAGGGAGAACACGAAAATGGGTGGCCCCTTCCAGTTTTTTTCATCCTCCTGATTCACTGAAAATGTATTATTAGGCTGAGCAGCCTCACTCTCCTCCTAAGGAATTGTTAGCTCTCTTCCCTAAACTGTGTTGCCTGGTTTCTGGAGAAAGTGAAGGCGTGTGGGTGTCACCGTGGAATAGTTGACATGTTTATTAAATTCTGAACTGAACTTCACAGATCCTGACTGTGGATCAAAGCCAGTCTGAACATTGTGTTTTGATGAAGATAATAAATGTCTAACTTAAACTGCCCTCGATGTACTTAGATAATTGGTAAATAAATGTAAAGAACTTAATAATGAGGGTGGGGTTTCATTTTCAAGCCAAATAAAACTGTGTTCCAGGTTGACGGTTTTCCTTTCCTCGGGATTTTAAGCCTCATCCCTTACTGGGGGCTTTTGTTGCTTTTCAGGTGCAATCGCTGGTATAGTCGATCAGCCAATGCAGAACTTCCAGAAAACATCTGAGGCTCATGCTTCAGCAGGACACAAGGCCAAGGGTGTAATCTCAGGCGTGGGGAAAGGACTCATGGGCGTGTTCACAAAGCCCATCGGAGGAGCCGCTGAGCTTGTGTCGCAGACGGGCTACGGTGAGTCGGTACAAAACCTGTTGGGCCAACTCAGACATCACTGATTAATTTGTGTTATTATATTACTATCAAGGGTTCCCTAAGATAATCTAGCCCTTCACATGGCAAAGGAGTGAAACATAAAAGGAATACGTTTGTAAGTAGATAAATAGCTGTCTTTCTCACCTCCTTATGCTTATTTACACGAAGAGTAGAATTGTACTAATAATAAATTACAATAAAATTACAGAACCAGGAAATCAATGACTAATTTCAGTATATGTATACATGTCACAGAATCTTTTTACAATACATTTAATAAAATGTATTGTAGGTTTTAATGAAAAGTAACCAGTTAGAGATTGAGGTCAATATGTAGAAAACACTGAAACAGAGAATAGAATTATTACTTTTTCTGGTGAGCAGTTTGAGAGGAAAAATAGATTATGAGGCAGAAAGATACCTTTAAATTACAACGTGTATGTATTTGGACAATGAGAGAGAGACAGGAGCATTGTGTGTGTGTGTGTGTGTGTGTGTGTGTGTGTGTGTGTACATGGGTGTGTGCACACATGCCCACAGAGCTTTGCGCTTGGCATGGCTTCCTCACCTGCAGACTCCATGCTGCCGCTGCAGCCAGGCCAAGTCTCCTGGCCAATGGCAGTCAAGGCATATGACCTGCACCTGAGAGCCCTTTCCCCAGACAGCTGTGGAGAACTTGGGCTCGCGGTACTAGTTGCACCAGGATGTGGCGTGCCAGGCCCTCTCCCCACGCATGCGTGTGCACACAGAGCAGTGGGCGTGTGGGAAAGGAAGCATCTCCTCCCGTGCTTATTTTCTGCATTCTTGACAGAGTACATGGAAGTGACTTTTCATAAACAGGTGACTGGAATTGTTTCCTTCTTACCCAAAATCAGTGTCATCACTTTGGTGGGGAAGCAGGCTACCTAGCTAGTATCACAAACTAGAGGGGCTCTCTCATTTGTCAGACATGTGAGCCCTCTGCATCTGGCCATAAAGTCAGCAGGGGACATTTCACCGCAGACATCCTGCACCTCAGTAGATCTGACAAGAGGCAGCCAGATCAGGGCGTAAAAACTGTCTGAAAGGAAGAGCGCAGCAGATGCATGCCCACACTCAGGCAACCGTCCGGGAGGCTCCTTTAAGAGACCACACAGACGCCAACATGTGTTCCGCTTCGCTTCTCCCCTGCCGCCTCCCTCCCTGCGTCTGTCTCTCCTTCTGTGAATGACATTTTCACTCACAGGGAAACTGACAAAAAGAACTCATACAACTCCTAAGTGGACAAAGTTAAATACTCCCTTATCAAATGCTTACACGTTAATAAAAACAGTATTTCTTTTGCTCTAGACTCCAGTGAGGGAAAGTCAACTCATACTTCATAAATTCCTTTGGTTTTGAAAACACCATTGTGCGTTTCCCAGGGCTGAGGAACTCTCCTTATGTAAGAGCATCTCAGAACAGAGCTTCGCATGGCCTTGTTGGTTTCCATCATTCTTGTAAAACTTTTATTACTGCACTGAAGGTTTTATAAACCACTAACTCTTAGTCTAATGACTGTGCCTCGTTTATAAACATTTACAAGCCCTCAGAAAGCACACATGCTGTACCATCTTTGGTTCTGGAGAGCCTCTTTGGAGGCCTGCATGGCTGCTGCTCAGTGCCCAGGTTTGGTGCTGGCACTGGAGAGAGCGTGTAATAAACTGGAGGCCCCACGAGCACTCAGAAATGTATATGGATTCATGTTTAACAGCTGGATTAAGTCACTTAAATACTGTATCTAGGCAAACCATGTGCCTTTGTGTGCATCTCTCTGTGTGTTGTGGTTTTTTATTATTTGACCAGCCACAGCACAGATACAGAAGAATTCTAATATTAAGCAAGAAAAATCAACTAACAATCTTGACTTTTTTATCACATAAATTGTAAATGATGTGTAAGCCATTGCTCAGGACCGATTACTCCCAGGAGCATAATGCTTCCTCTAATTACCAGTCTATGATGGACTGCAAAGTCATTCCGATTTCAGTTTGTAGCTAATGTAAAATCACCAGGGTTAAGTGCATTGCAATATTTAATGATTATCTGTACACTTGCTTCCAAAGATGTGACATCATTTCAGATCTGCAGCATTTTATGGATGGCTCTAAGCAGATGACATCACTGTAGCAGGGGACTGTTTTCCAGAAAACAACTAGTAAAACCCCCTTACTTCTCTTACCACAGGTATTTTACATGGAGCTGGACTTTCTCAGCTTCCCAAACAGCGCTATCAGCCAAGCGATCTACATGCCGACCAGGCTCCAAATAGCCACGTCAAATATGTCTGGTAAAATTATTGAGACACTTGCTCAACTGTACATGCGTGTTGTGTGTTAACAGGGCCTGGCTTGCTCTCAAGCTAACGAGCTATACTGCCAGGGGAGCCCAAGAGGAGCCGTCATTGTCAGCGTCTCAGGCAGCACAGGGGCATCCTCGAGCCAGGGAAAGGCGGCTATCCCTAAAGCTGGGTCTGCCACTCAGGAGGATCTCACTGGCAGGGAAGCCAGGGCCCGCGAGAGGGCGTGAGACTCTCTGTGGAACCAGCTTTCTAATTAGGGGTGACATCTTTAATGGGAAGAAAAGGAAGTAACCAGAGCCCAGGGAAATCTTTGTCCCCAGAAGGAACTGGGCTCTGCTGACCAGAATCAGTTTGAGAATTAAAATGACAATTACATTTCAGGCTAAAATTAATAATTAGATTGGTTAAGGCCCTTTGCCCTTGGGGAGCATTGTGTGGGATTGCCCAGCCCTTGGTACAGTGAGCACTAATATTGGCCGTTTTTTCAAAGCTGGCTCCTGGCCTCCCTTTTCTCCTTTGAAACAGGAAAATGCTCCAGTCTCTGGGCAGACCGGAAGTCCACATGGCCTTGGATGTGGTTCTGGTGCGGGGCTCAGGCCAGGAGCACGAGGGGTGCTTGCTGCTAACGTCGGAAGTGCTCTTCGTGGTGAGTGTCAGTGAGGACGCACAGCAGCAGGCCTTCCCTGTCACGGAGATGGACTGCGCGCAGGACAGCAAGCACAGCGACCTGCTCATCGTGCAGCTCAGGCAGCCAAGGGTGGCCTGCGACGTGGAGGTACAGCTCAGAACACAGGGCGACTGGGGCTGGCTTCCAGCGAAGCCGAAATGTAGGCCGCTGGCTGGGACGAAGCATTGGTGAACCCACAGCCTCTGGAGTGGCTGCAGAGGAGTGGGTGAGAGAGGCGAGGCGGCCACTGCAGAAGCGGGTTGGGAAGGCGCAGCCAGGTTACATGTGAGCCTTCAGAGGCGAGCCCAGCAGGAGGCCAGATGGGCTCAGCCACCATGTGAATTGAACAAGGCTTGGTCGTCATGGGGCTGGGGTGCTTGAGTAGACAGGACAGGGCATGGCAGTGGAGCTCCACTGTACAAGGACTGGGACCAAGGCAGTGATTCCATGCAACTGCTCCATGAAACAGGCCCCAGTCTGCAGGTGGCCTGGGAGTGGCTGCAGCAGCTGCGTGGTCCTGGAGAGGCCGCCATAGAAGTGAGGGTGTCATGAGTGAAACAGGGCATGGGCAGTAGGCCAGACCTTTGCAAGTTCACAGACCAGGAGGTCTGACTCACTCACTTCCCCGTTCGCAACCCAAGACTTGAGGGGTCAAAATTTTATAAACAGACCCCTCTCCCGCATCCACAGCTCTGTTTTATGTGGCTCTGTGTTCCCTTTCCCATAGGACAGTTTCCCGTAAGTTCCACAAGGTACCTCCTGGGGATGCTGCTTAGTCTCTTGGGGCAGCTCCCTGGCCACACGGCTCCTCAGACGTTCTGGCTGCTGGCTCCTGGCCACCCATAGGTTGATGTGGAACGGGTGTTTAGGCAGGGCATACTGGGTGTCGGGTCAGCGGTCAACCCTGATGCGAGTAGCACCAGCTTCCTGCAGTCCAGGCCAGGGGGAGCAGGTGCCCCACTGGGAAGCTGCTCTCTGCCCCTGCGTCCCTGCTAATTGCCTGATCTATGGGGACCTTAAGAGTTGACCTCAGAAACAGACATCTTTTCCCACATGGCAAGATGGGGGTGGAGCAGGGGCGGTGTGGAGCCTGCTGGTCCTAACCTGGGGACAGAGTGGCCCCAGGAAAGGACAGCAAACCTGCCTCCACCAGGTCCTGCCTGATCCCTTCATTATTTTCTTCCTGCTATGGGAGCCTGCATCTCCCTTACACCACTGTTTGGGTAAAATTATCTGAGAAGATGGAAGGCAGCCAAGCACAACAACTGAGATTTCTCTGGTTTCTTGGATCATAATCAGTCAGGCTTTAAGCTGGGGCTTGGCACTAGGACTACAATGCTGCTTCGAGTTGATGAGTTTCTGGGAATAAACAGAGGTCAGATGTCCAGGCTCTTTCTTAGATCTGCCAAAATCTTCTGATCTAGTTGACAATAAAGCAGCAGTGACGTGGCTACAGGATTTGGCAGGAGATAGTATCATTATCTTCAAGTCCTTGGTCCTTAACAAGAAACTTCCAAGGCCCTGAGGAGTATCTGTATCTGTGACCATCATTATTCCATAGCTGCTTGGGAACTATTTCAGACCCTAAACTATTGAGACTGGAGATTCATCTTTTGCTGTTAAACTGTCTATTGTGATCCTTTCTCTGGCTTTTCTGTTTGAGGGTGCTGTTGGGAATTAGCATAGCTGGCGGGAAACAGACTTGTTTCCGTAGGGGTTAGTGAGATATCTGGAGTCACCACCCCTACAAGTTGCCAAGGGCTGAGACCATGGGATCACTGAGGCAGAAGCACTGACACTGGACACCATGCTCTACACGTTTCCACTGGTGCTCAGGGATAACAGAGGGTTGGAATGACGGGCTGGCAGAGGCAGGCAGGACAGAGCTAGCAGGAACTGCAGGGCAGCTATTCCAGACAGATGCCGAGCTCACCCAGCAGCAGCTGGCACTGGACAGAAAGGGTGGCTACCTGTGTGCCTTCAGCCTCCTCTGCCTCCCCAGTATCTATTCCACTTTACCTCTCCCCTCAGCTCTGTGTAAGAAACAGAAATTAACTGCCCCTAATTCTATGTCCAAACCCTAACCTCTCCCAGTCACCCCAAAGGAGACCTGAGCTACAGAACAAACTACTCATTTATTTTCTGAGACAGTAAACCCTTCCTTAAGTGTTGTAATCTAATGTATTTTTTAAATGGGGGAGCGGGGTGTCACTCATTGGTGCTGCTTGACTCGACTTTTCCTCAGTTGGCATGCTCGTCAGTGCATAGCAACCTAATTTAGACGGAAGCTGGGTGAAGAAACCTACTCGCCGTCTCCCAGGGAAAACTTGATATAAAATCTTGAAATAAAGTGGTCTTTCTGGTTTTAACTTTAGATACTAGGAAACACAGCTCCTTTGAATTTTGAAAGGAATCAATTTGTAGATGACATCATTCAGTATATTCAAATATGGCAGGATTCAGATTTTTTTAAATCAGCATTTGCTTTTCTTGGTTAAATGCAGCCATTTTTAGGGTAATAATTGCTTAATATGCCTGGCACATCATCGAAATCCCTTATGAGAGGCTCAAAATGAGTCAGAAGGTCAATTTATTCCTTGGCCAGGTTCCTTTCACAACACGGGTTTTCCTGTGCTGCTGTTCAGGAGGAGCAATTAAGACTTTGTGTATTCAAAGCTTTCCAGCTGAATTCTGACCCCATCAAATGATATCATCTGCGCTCTGGCTTTTGCCCGGTGGTGCACAGCTTTCATGTGTCAGTGAATCTTTGGGGGCCTTTATTTTCCTTCCCAAGCTTAAAAATATGAGACCCAAACTCTTAACAGACCCCTACTTACTATTCTGGCAGGCCCTTTTACTCTCCACCATCCCACTGGCTTTCCGCAGCTTTTAAGACAGCCCTGGCCACACTGTTTCTGTGCCCTATGCAGAAATACAGAAATTCTTTACAGTACTACTTTGAGAGCTAAAACACCCTCAATAAAATGTTTTTAATTCTTCCAGTGGTCTTGCCAGCATTTAGTAAAGACCCCTGAAAGGTCAGTGGCTACCCGATTCCCACAGATCAGCGGCTTACACAGCGGCTAGTTTCAGGGTGGGAAGAATTTACAGCTACAACTGCCTTTGATGGGTGCTTTCTCAGGAAACCTCACCTAAGAACTTAGGTAGTATATCTCAGTCCTAGTTGAGTTCCACTGAAGATGAGCCAGACTTTTATGAACCATAAATGTACTTTGCATCCTCCTTTTTTCCATAAAAATTTCCTCTGCCCAGTTTTGTTTTCTCTGGCTTTAAATCCTAGTATTTATAAAAACAGAATATTACAGTTCAAAAGGTATTTTTTAATGCTCTGTCCAAAGCCACTGGTTTGAAAGAGGTGCTCTTCACTTTTTCTGTCAAACTCAAAAAGTTCTGTCTAAAGACGTTTGAGGAGATAGGCAAACAGCTTTTATTTCAGAGCTTAGTTTAATGGTGATTCGATTTAAGTAGAGGAAGGACACCTCTGTTCCTGGGCTGGTTAGTAAAGAGCAGTGACAGATGTTTTAATAGTTAATGAGTAAAATGTTATCAAATCAACTTCAAACATGGGCATTTTACATAATACCAAGTGCTTCTTTAAAGGAGCTTGTCCTTCTGTCCTCATACAGAGCTTGTTATATTGCTGGAATTGCAGTGTTATTGCCAGTTAGAGGCAAAAAGGAAGCAGTTTTGGATAAAATGGCTTCAACTAGATAACCTAAAAATGTATCAAATGTATGAAGGCAACAGGATAGTTATGGAAATCTCCTTATGCGAGTTTGGCAACAAAAAAATCTTTTATTTTTGTCTCCCAGGTGGATGGAGTCCGAGAGAGACTGTCAGAGCAACAGTACAACAGACTTGTGGACTACATCACCAAGGCGTCTTGTCACCTGGCCCCCGGCTGCTCGTCCGTGCACACACCCAGCCCTGTGGTGGCTGTGGAACCTCTCCCCTCCACTGTGAAAACGTACCATTATATGGTGGAGCCACATTTTGCTCAAGTCTTCATTAGTAAATTTACCATGGTGAAAAATAAAGCCCTGAGGAAAGGGTTCCCTTGAGGGGGTCCCTCTTCTCAGGTGTGGATTCCTCATTGTGCAATTTATTTTTGAAAAAGAAATCTGACTAGCTCTAACATCTAATGTGGACACAAGGCCAACACTTTTCTATAGTTATAGGTAATTTTCCATCCTTCTCTAAAATTAATTCAGATTCCTCCTTCTCCCTAAAGATACTATAATAAAATGGATAAAAAAACTTCCTTTCATTGGGAACAACGATTAACATAATCATGTATGTTGTAGTCTTACCACACGTAGAAAATGCATTCCTTCTTGCTTTACAATATTCGCTAAAATTTCAGCTATAATTAGGATCTGGTAACACTCCGCTCTAACGTAAAATGTGTTCTGGCCTTAAAATGGAGCGATATTAAAACTCATTTCACAGTTGCATCTGATTTTAGGCTGAGACACTGTCTTTGCCTAATAACCCCATCTGCAAAGGTTTAGATTCTTTAAGTGAAAATAAATGTTTAGACTTTATTATTTAACTTGTTAAAGTTGTTATTTATATGTGATCCTGCTCTTTTAAGTCAAAGCTGATATGTATAGTCCTACTTTAAAGCCTGCATTTTACTGAAACTTACCAAACATGACTATCCAGGTACATTTTGGAAAAATGTTTTTCTAGTTTGTTTTACTAAATCAAGCTGAGTAAATCTTCTGTGTCTACCGATAAAAACAGACCCAAAGTGCTAAAAGTGACTTAGTTTCATAAACTAAACACAATAATAGGAATTACCTTTGACAGTCCCTGTGGAAGGGGTTTAGTAGGATTCACACTGCACTGGTGCACTGGATAGGCACCAAGAACCTCAAAATTAATCTTAATGAACCAGACCACATAGTTCATTTTGCTGAATTGACTTGCTCAAGAATAAAGATATTCCCAGTGTCTGTTAGTATTACTCTGCATTTAACCACAGGTTTGGATCACCAGGTATCTTTACTATTCAGTAAATCTCTCAAGCCTCCAATTAAAACACATTTACTAATTACATCTAAACTTGGGCCTACAACCTGTTACCTACAATTGTGAATTCAATTTCAAATGCCCACTGATCTTTAACTGAAGTCCCACATGTTACTGGGCATAGGAAGTCAATGAATAGTTGCTTCTGGAAAGCTAGATCCAGCAAGGCTACCAAACAGTGACAATAAAGCCCAACGGTATATTTTATTGGAAAGACAGTCTCTGTCTCTTCTGAGAGCCCACAGTACAGTAGTCATGTGGGCTCACATAGACCCCTTAAACTGATGGCCCAGGACCAAGACCATTATGGACAATTCAGGCTGAATAAGAAAAAATGGTTCCTCCATTAGTTTGCTGTATCATACTCATTTAAGAAAGTGACAGTTTTGTCAATTAACCTTAAGAGTAACTTTTTAAAAATGTAAATATATATTAATTCTTATATCTTTTATGGTAATTTTGCATACTACTTCTAAGAATTGTTATATAAAATTATTTAAAATAAAAGGAATCCTTGAATTATTGATGGCACCTTAAATGTGTATTGTTACCAGGGGTTTTTAAAATGCAGGTTTTCAATATTAATTGGGTTTAATTCAGCTCACATTATTAGGCGCTCAAGAATTTTGAGTTAAAAAGAATAAACAGTTTTTGTTATAAAGTGACAACTGGTGATTAAATTAGCTTTGGATAAAATAAATTTTATTTTTAAAGCTCTCTATGGTATCACTTTGATCACATCAACAAAAAACAGTAATAAAGGGGAGAAAGGCCCTAAGACCGCTTCCAGAAAGGTAACGTTATATTGTTAGTTATTAGCAATTCCAGATAAGTAACTAACACAGCTAGATACATATTCCAAATTGCATGGATATACAATTATCATGCTCTTTAATACAGTAATACTTTAATACAGTAATACTGAGTAAAGAACCTTAAATTTCAATTATCTATTACTACCTCTGTCTGGAAGTTGATCCAGCAAGGCTACCAAACAGCGACAATAAGCCCAACAGTCTCTGCCTCTTCTAAGAGCCCACAGTAGAGTAATCACGTGGGCTCACGGAGAACCCTTAAATCAACATCCCAAGACCAAGCAACTAACTAGAAGTATCTTAAAGTGGACAAAACGTCACATCAATCGAAAATGTCCTACAATAATACAAGTTTTAATACTGAAATCAAGTTACCTTCATAAGGTAAACAGCTAAAATCCCTAACCCATTCTGATGCAAGTGCCCACAGTTATATCAATAACTGAGCAAAGACGTACTCTCCACAACATTTAATTGTTTATTTACCAAGAGAAACTATCCCTTAGCCCAAATATCCATGTTTCATAGTTCAGGAACACAGCTCAGTGACAAACTTCCGTGGAAATCAACTCAAATTCTGTGGAGAAAAAAACACAGTGACTACGTTAATGACAAGCATTTTCTCAATGTGTCACCACCCGAGATCACCTGAGGTCTATTCCTCACTCACCCTTAGCCCCGAAGAAGCCCAGTGCAGACGGCCTGGGCCCCCAGGTCCATTCCCCAGCAAGTTTCCTGACCAGCCACTTTTCCCTTTCAGGTATTACCACACCTTACTCTGGTTTCTTGCTTCCATTTACCAAATTGTGCTTTTTCAGTATCTCTGAAGCCCATCCCCCTTCATTCCCTTCTCATACACACATACTGTTTTGAAAAGCAGCAGCCCCTCTAAACAATTTCTACTTCTGTCTCCAAATTTGTTTTTTCTTTTTCTTAATGGTTTTTAAACACAACTTCTTATATACAAAAGGTAAAAATCTAACATTTAAAAATCATCCTGTTAACATCTGATCATGAAATGCATACCCACTGTGGAAAATTTGAAAATTGCAAAGGTATACGAAAACAGCAATGTTAAGATTAAGATTCCACACAGAACCATTAATATTTTCTTGATCTTTTTTACCTTCCATCTTTTTTTTCTGTGCAATTTTTAACATAGATCATCCTTTACATTCTTAATTTTCTATTATAAAATAATCTCTTCATGTTACTTTGTGAATATCATTTCTAATGGACCCAACAGTCTGTGGTATGAATAAGACAATTTTCCAACCACTGAAAATGAAGTTCTTTCTACTTTTCCTAATGGCTAATTTAGTGCATGCATCTATCTGTAGTTCAGATATTTACTTAAGATAAACTATAGAAATGGACTATAGAATTGAATCTTATATTAGGCAAAAGCTACTTCATCAAAATTATCCTTGAGTCTACCAGAAAAATGACCTAAGTCCAATGCAGTAAGTCTCCCCCACTCCCCTCCCCGCTAGATCTTGGGAAAGATACACACATCTAACAGTTGGAATGCTCATTCAGGTACAGTCGGCCTGATTCACATTCCCCTTGTCACAGCGAACTCACACTAGTGTGTTAGAGAGACTCTAACTCTATTTATATTGTTCTTTCTTGGTTTTTTGTTGAGCCTGAATAAAGCTCAATACATAAATGATAAGATTATGACTAGTGTTTCATCAGATACTTGGCATATGCTTTCACATCAATTTAGTGGATGACCTTTCATCAGCACACAATCCCTTTAGTTCTTTTCTAGACATAAAACCTTAATTCACACTGTCCATGAGGCATAAGGACTTTGTGGACATGACAGGCCAGACCAGAACCTATGGGAAGCCACCAAGTCACCCAACTAACCAAAGGAGTCAAATGCACCTTTTAAAGCACCTTTTTTTTTAAGCACTATTAAAAGTGTGATATTCCTAATGCCAATCTAGCAATTAATAGCATAACATGTGACATAATTTTGAACATAAAAATTAACTTTATGCCAAGCTGTTTAGTAAAGATCTTCCCTTGCATGAAACCAGTCTGCAAACAACAGAAGAGGCGGCTGTTTAATCAAACGCCAAATTTTCAACATAAGTCACAAGCCATACCAAGAAAAAACATAGCCCATTGAAAGGAACAAAATACATCTCCAGAAACCAACACTGAAGAAGCACATGCCTGATTTACTTGACGAAAACTTTAAAATAAATGTCTTAAATATGCTCAATGAGAAAAGAGCTGACAACTAAACGAAATCATGAAAACAACATACGAAATGAGAATATCAACAAAAAAAATAGAAATTACTTTAAAAATTGAAATTCGACAGAATACAGTAACTGAACTGCAAAATTCACTAGAGGGGTTCAACAACAGACTCAAACACAGAATATTCAGCAAACCTGAAAACAGATCTTTTGAATTATTGAGTCTGAGAAGCAAAACAAAATGAATAAAATAAATGAGACCTTAAAGGACTTAAGGGACACCTCCCAAAGACCAATATATCCATTATGGAAGTCCCAGAAGAGAAGGAGCAGAGAATTTAAAGAAACAATGACCAAAAACTTCCCAAATTTGAAGAAAGAATTGTATATACAAATGTAAGTTACTTGGAAGCAGGATGAACCCAAAGAGACCCACACCAAGACACATTGTAATCAAACTGTCAAAAACCAAACACAATGAATCTTGAAAGCAGCAAGACAACCTACAAGGGAGCCTCTGTCAGATTATCAGTGGATTTCTCAGCACAAACCTTGCAGGTCAGAAGGCTGTCGGATATCATATTTAAAGTGCTCACAAAAAATAACCCTGTCAACAGAGAATCTATATTCAGCCAAGCTGTCCTTCAAAAATGAGAAAGAAATTAAAGACATTCCCAGATAAAAGCTAAAAGATATTACACTGCCTACAATGGAGTTTGTCAAGTTGAAATAAAAGTACACAAGCCATGTGAAAATATAGTTCCCTGATGAAAGTAAATATATGGACAAATATAAAAGACAATGTTATAATTGTTTCATAACTCCACTTTCAATTTTGTAAAATTTAAAAGACAAGCATAAAAATAAAAAACATCTGTTAATGGGAGCATAATAAATACATTTGTGACAATAATAAAACTGGAGAGCAGAGTTGTTAAAAGAATTTTTGTTCTAGTCTTAATTTTTTGAGGAACTTCCACACTGCCTTCCATAGCAGCTGCACCAACCTGTATTCCCACCAACAGTGTATGAAGGTTTCTTTTTCTCCACAGCCTCTCCAACACGTCATTTGTCTTGTTGATGATAGCCATTCTAACAGGTGTGAGGTGATATCTCATTGTGGTTTTTATTTGCATTTCTCTGATGATTAGTGATGTTGAGCATTTTTTCAAGTGTTTATTGGCCATATGACCCAGCAATCCTTCTCCTGGGTATCTATCCAATAAATCTGAAAACTTTTATCCGTAAAGATATATGTGCTCCTATGTTTACTGCAGCTTTATTTACGGTGGCCAAGACATGGAAACAACCAAAGTGTCCTTCGATAGATGATTGATAAAGATGTGGTACAGATATACAATGGAATACTACTCTGCCATAAAAAAGATGAAATAATGCCATTTGTGACAACATGGATGGATCTTGAGATTATTATGCTAAGCAAAATAAGTCAGACAGAAAAAGTCGAGAACCATATGATTTCACTGATATGTGGGATATAAAACTGAAAACAAAGGAACAAGGCAAACAAATGAAAAAAACAAAAACTCATAGACATAGACAATAGTTTAGTGGTTACCAAAAGGGAAAGGGGAGGAGATGGTAAATGAGGGTAAACATATGGTGATGGAAGGAGAACTGACTCTGGGTGGTGAACACAAAATGTGATATATAGATGATGTATTACAGAATTATACAACTGAAACCTATGTAACTTAACTAATTGTCACCCCAATAAACTTTAATTAAAAAAATAAATAGAAAATGAATTTTTGCACATAGCTGAAGTTATCAGTTTGAAATAGATTGGTATAATTTTAGAATATTGTATATAATCTTGATAGTAATCACAAATAAAATATCCATAGAATATAAACAAAACGGAAAAAGGGAATCAAAATGTCACTAAAAAAAGCAACTAAAGAAAGATATTAAGGATCCAAATATACACTATCTACAAGAGATTCACTTTAGCTCTATGGACACATAATTTGAAAGTGAAAGGATAGAAAGAGATATTCCATACAAATAGTAAAATAAAGCAAGAGTGGCTGGCTATATTATCAGACAAAATAGACTAACACAAAAATATTAAGACAAAGAATGGTATAAAGATGAAAAGGGCCAATTCACGAAGAGAACAATTAAAAATACATATACACCAAACACCAGAACTTCCAAATATATGACACAAACACTAACTGAACTGAAGGGAGAAATATACAGCTCTACCATAATAGTAAGTGATTTCAATACCCCCCACTTTCAGTAATGGCTATAAGAACCACACAGAAGATCACTAAGAAAAGAATCTGATGTACATGATGATATTTATGATTAGCCTCAAGAAGCTGAAGCTATCTATTCTCTGTTGGATGTTGTGGATGAGGAAGCCCAGAATCTTTTAAACCAAAATAATGCAGCAGGAGATATCTGTATTCTAGGTATGCTGAAAACCACTGGGAAGTTATCTGAAGAAAAAGCGGAAGATACAGACTGTGATGGACCACCTTTACCAAAATGAATGGCTGTGAAGAATACTGTGAAGGAAAAGTAAAAAGTGAAAGCTTAATTCAAGTCACAAGAAAGGAAGACTGATGATGATGAAATAACAAGGGGAAGTGATGAGCTGCCGACAGAAAAAAACCATGAAGATTCCAATAAAGATCATCCCTTTCTGACAAAGGAGAGCTCGCTGCACTCCTTATCGTCAAAATGCTACCCTCTGGTAAACATACTGGTACCAAGTTGAAATCAGTCATTTGAATGTTGTGGAGTTTACTAGATCGAGGAATTTCTTCTAAGAAGCTGGAGAATCTTCAAGAATTAAAACCTTCAGATCAGTGTCTAATTGGACAAACCAAGGAAAACAGAAAAATATAAAAAAATACTTCCCTACACTGCTACAAGAATGCCTCTTGGAGATGAAAGTGGATATAGCAACACCAGCTTCATTAAGATACCAGTGGGAAAACGAGTTTGTTTATACTGCCTGCCAAGGACCTCTCCCTACAAGTGTTGGGAGATTTCTACAAAGTTATTTGAGAACAAAATTCCACAGTGACGGCCATGATGACCCAAGCAGAAAGAGAAAACGTCAAATGCCAGCAGTACTGGCCTAACATCCGAGGCAAAAAAACAAAAAAAAAACCCCAACAATGGTCAGCGACAGGCTTCGGCTGGCTCTTGTGACAATGCAGCAGCTGAGGGCTTCAGTAAGGGCAATGACCCTCGAAGATATTCAGGCAGGAGAGGTGCGACATTTCTCATCTGAATTTCACTGCCTGGCCAGACCACGAAGCACCACCACCTCAGCCAGAGGACTTGCTCACTTTTCTCTCTTAAATGAGACATCTTTACA